TCATGCATAAAAAGTCCTGTTGGCTCAATGGTTAATCTCATACAATAACAACATTGATAATGAGAACTAAAGGGATAAGGAGAATTGTTGGAGTTTCCAGGAAAGGTATCTCTTTCTGAAAGTTGATGTATTTGAATGTGATGATAGGAATTTCAATGATTATCTTGACACTTTCCAGAAGACTAAGTCAACATATTGAAAGGGAAAAATCAAGAGCTCCAAGAGAAGTGGTGCAGCTCTAAAATACTACCCATATGAATGTTGTTGTGCAGTGCCGTCCAGTCGGATCCAACCCATAGCGACCCTATATAGGGTTTCTGAGGAGCAACTGGGGAGCTTGAATCACCGACTTTGCAGTTCAAACAGCTTTGCAATCAGGAACATTAACTCACAGCACCACACTAGACGCCTATTCAGGAAGATGCCTTAAATCTTATTTTGCTAGTTAAATTTTTTTTTTGCTGTTTTGAGTTGAGATTTCTATTATGTGAAGCTGAAGCCATTCTGAGAATATTTTATTTGTTCTACTTAAAAAAACATATATCCAAAAATAAAAAATTTGTTCTAGTTGTTCCGTTTATATACTTTTAAAAATTACATGAGACATATTTTCCAAATATGAAAAAAATGTAATTGCTAAATCTTCAATTTTTGTTGTTGGTGCCATCGAGTTGGTTCCGACCCATAGTGACCCAGTATAGGGTTTTTGAGGAGTGGCTGGTGAGCTTAAGCTGCCAATCTTGTGGTTCAAACGAACTTTGCAGTACACTTCATTAACCCACAGCGCCATACCAAGCACCAAGTCTTCAGTAAGTTAGCTAAATTATACTTTTAATTATTATTGAAATATCATTTTAATTAACTATTAATCTATAATTTTATTTAAGAAATTATTATTTAGCAACTAAATGCAGACTTATATTTGAACATTTTTCCCTTGGATTTAATTGTCATTCATTAAAAAATATTTATAATCATATTTTCTTATTATTCTTGGTTTCATAAATATACCTTAAACAGGAAATGCCATTGCACATAGGAATTGGCTTTTAAAACATGTATCTTAAGTTAAAAGTACAAGTTGTTTTCAGCTTATTTCTAATAGACAACAAATTTTGAAAATTAAAAATACTTATAAATAAAAATCATTTTCAGACATATCTTCACCATTTCAGGATTAGACTTGATTTGATCTTTTCTTGGAGGATTTACATAATATTAAGCATTTGAATACATCAGCATTAAAATCTTTTCACAAATGTAGATTTCCATTTAAAAATTAATTTATAAAAATGGTAAAAGTCACATCTATCAAATTGATTCTACATATAAGCAGACACCCATACAACAGATTTGGCAATATATGTGGGATGGTATGAATGGGAAGAGTGGATCAAGGTAGCTCTGTGTAAAGTAATTTTTACTAATGTATAGCTATGGGTCGGAATTGACTCGACAGCACATAACAACAACATACCTGAAATGTGAAAATTCTATTTATTTTTAAAAGCACTTAGGCATGCAAGTTTTAATTTGCTTAAAAGAATAAACCTCAGCTAGTTCCCTGACCCATTCAACTACCAAATAGAATGACTTGACATCACAAATATACAGACATATGAAAGTGTTGAATAAGCAAAATTCAAAATAAATGAATTAATGATACAGCACCATGTAAATTTTGTAAGGTGACTTAGTTCGTTCTTACCACAAATACTGAAAATTTATTATTTTTACAAAGATTGCTATTGTGCTTCTTAAAGCTATGTTGTTGTTAGGTATTGTCAAAACTGTTCATATTCATAGTAATCCTTTGTATAATGAAACACTGTCTGGTCTTGCACCATCCTCACAATTGTTGTATTTGAGCCCATTATTGCTCCACTGTGTCAAATAATTTTATTGGGGGAGTCTTCGTCTTTTTCATTGACCTTCCACTTTATGAAACTATGTTCTCTCCAAGGACTGCTTCTTCCTTACAATATGTCCAATGTATGAGAAAGAAGGCTGCCATCACCACTTCGGTTTATGTGGATTTCTAAACGCAGTCACACACTTGAACCACCTAAGGATCCAGACATCTGATACCATGTTGATTCCTGTGCAGACAAGAGAGGAGATCTACATTCTCATTATTTTTATTATATATGTATCATGATATTTGAACATACTGGGAGATTGGATTATTTAGAAAGGAATAAATTCATGACATAAGTCTGTACTTACCAGTTCTGTTTCCTGGTACTCTTTCTTAACTCTGTTATACAGATAAATACTTTTCAACACAGTGAATCAGATAATCAGGAATTAGGTGTTGGCATGTAAGTTGTAGAACAATTCATGTGGTAACTCAGTATGCACCAAAACATATGTTACTGAAGACTGAGAAGTAGGATATTTAAAAATATATAGTGTTGGCTGTGGATAAGATACTTAATAAATGAATGTTGTATAAAAAATACTGAGAATATGAAAGTGTAAAAATAGAAGAAGACAATACAAATGAAGGTTATATATGAGCCTTTAATAGTGTTTTGAAGTATGACACCAACATCTTACAAGTAAAATTAAAAATGTAAAAGTTTAAACTTTGGAATGATTTGCAAACTATAAAAAAAAAAAAAAAAAAAAATCTTAGGATTAACAACAATAACAACAACAAAAGTCAAACTTTTGTCCTTAATATAAAAAATATTCCAAAAGAAAACAAGATTAAGATCATGAAACATTGACTCACAAATGTGAAAATATAAATCGCCACTAGATATAAAATATAATGTTTAACATTTATAGTAATAAAAATTAAAATGAAACAATCACAAAATGTTACTATACATATCAAAATTGGCCTACTTTAACAGAAAGTTAAATATGTTAATTGGAGTATATGAAAATAGGCATTCCTTTATATTGTCAATAGAAGAGTAAGTGGCACAAATTTTCCGGGCAAGATTTGAGCAATATTAATCAGTTATTTAAAACCTACTTTCTTTTCAACTATTAATTCCACTTTTATATATGTTGATTGGAGTATATGAATGTAAAGGCATTCCTTTACATTGTCAATAGAAGAGTAAGTGGCACAAACTTTCTGAACAAAATTTGAGCAACATTTATCAGTTATTTAAAAATAGCTTTTTCTTCAACTATTAATTCCACTTTTATACATGTTCTTAAGAATATAATGGCATACATCAGCTCATATATATAAACTTAAAATATGTTCATCCCTAAGTTGTTCAAGATGAAAATATAAAGAGAAGGGGAACAGCCTAGTCACCTTTTTGCTGGTCAATATGAAATTACATATGAAATTACATACTCCTGGTGTGGTGCTGTGGGTTAATGCTCCAGACTGCAAAGCCATTTGAAACACTATACAGGGTCACTATGGGTTGCAACCAACTTGACAGCACTTCACAACAACATCAATGGTACAATTATTGAGGAAAATATAAAAGTCATTAAAATTATAATGTAAGCAGTTAAAAATTGACCAGGGTACATTGTCAAATTAAGAAAGCAATTATAAGATTAACAATATGATTTAATTTTTGTTAAATTATCTATTATATATGTCTGCATAAGAGTATCAGGTGATTCTTACTAATATTTTCATAACATTTTTCATTATCTAACAGATTCTGATTTTGATATTGTGTGATGATGAATATATATTTAAAAATGGAATCAATTTTTCACATTCTTTCATAACTTATTGATATAGGAAATAATTTTAAATTTAATTTTTTTGTGTTCCAGTAGTATATGAAATAGAAATAAAAAATCAAAGCAATGCATTAAAAAATATTTTAAAAAAAATTTAAAAACCTTTGTCATGAATTGGAATTGAAGTAATTATTTAAATAAAATAAATTATTTATCTATGTCCAAATGGATTTGAAGTGGCACATATTGTAGGTCAACATTGTAAAATCCTTTAAATAAGAATAAAGTTGATATGATAAAATGACTGAAAGGCAAGAAGGAAAAAGAATTCTGGGAATGAAACTAAATTAGAGTTTACAATATGTTAGAAAACAGAGGCTATGTGGTGTAATTGTAACTTAGGAGAAAATCAATGTGTGTGCTGATCAATCAAGGTTAAAAGTGAATTTTAAAGCTTTATATAAATCTTATACTCTAATAAAAGAAACATGAGTTCATAAAAATAAACTTTTACTATTCTCTGACCCCTGAGAGACTATCACTACATGGAATAATATATAATGGACATTAAAAACACAGCTGTTAACTAGGCACAATACGCTCTATATATGTTTTATATGATATTGGTATCTTATATAAACTTAAGGACACTTATTAAACTGTTGGTGTATGAAGAAATATAAGATCAGTCTTTGGTGACCTGCATTAACAGAGATTTAATATTTGAAGAATGAAGAAATCAATGATATGCTATACAAGTCACAATTTAGGTAACTGGCAGCCACCTGAATCACAGGAAACCAATGGAAAGCATATCAAAAATCTTATCCAGCAGGTATGTGGGCAACATTAAAAACCTCCTTCATCTTAATTCTAGCCATTATTGGAAAAATAATCATTTCAGGATATAAATTTCAAAGAAATGAATCTTCCCTAGTCCTTTAAACATTAATGAAAAAGGAAATCAGCTGACAATCCATTTCTATATTTCTTTGGAATCCTGAATTATAAAAATAATTTGAGAATCATTTCATAGAAGAAATTAAAGCTAGCAATATTATTAAAATCAGAAAGAAAATGTATAAAAAACAAATTATTACATTTGTTCAAACTTAATAAAATATGTCTAATTATACTTATTTCTATGAATTCTTCATAATTTGGAAAAATATATACAACATAGTGAGCACCAAACTTCTAGGATTAATTTATTTTTACACACACACACACTCACAAAATGGCTTTGTATACGAAACCTTTTATCACAAAGTTTACTAAAGTCTGAAATTTCCTGCGTGCATTTTAGACAGGGATAACTCTTGTTCCTCCACCTATTGCAAACATTGGCTGGTGAAGTATGTTTTTCTCCCTTCCAGTGTTTGGGCCAGGGCTATATAGAGAGGCTTGGAGCCCAAGATGCGCCCATTCATCTCAGTCATTGCTTTGGTAGCCTCCTCATGAGAGGAGAAGCAGATCAAGCCAAATCCTTTACTTCGGCCTTCTTCCTGCATTACTTTAACTCTGCTAATTGATCCAAATGAAGAAAATTCATTCCGAAGTTTTTCATCATCAACATTATCATCAAGGTTCTTAATATAGAGCTTCACTCCATGGCACCAGCGAATTCTTTCTTGTCTCAGCTGTTCAAATACTTGTTTTAACTCAGCCTGTCGCTCTATTTTCTTTTGTGCCCGTCCTACAAATATCAGCTGCCCATTTATGTCCTTTCCATTCATTTCTTCCACAGCCTGTTTGGCAGCCTCGTGGCTATCAAAGCTTACAAAGCCAAAGCCTTTGGATTTCCCACTGGAATCTGTCATCACCTTAACACTTAGAGTTTTACCATATTTACTGAAAATTTCCTTCAGTCTCCTATCATCCATGTCATTTCCAAAGTTTTTGATGTAAACATTGGTGAATTCATTGACTTTGTTTCTGAGCTCAGCTTCTCGATCTTTGCGGCTTTTGAATCTGCTAACAAAAACTTTGCAGTTCTTGAACACAGTCCCATTCATCTCTTCAATAGCCCTGTCTGCAGCATTCTGGTTCTGAAAGTGCACAAAGGCATAACCCTTGGAGCCTTGATCATCACTCATTACCTTGGAGGAGAGAATCTTCCCAAAAGTTGAAAAACATTCATAAAGGGCTTTGTTATCAATGGATTTGTCCAGATTCTTGATGAACACATTCCCAACCCCAGATTTCCTTAAGTACGCATCACGTTGAGACCACATGAGACGGATAGATCTTCCCTTTAGTAAGTCAAAATTCATGGTGTCCAGCGCTTTTTGAGCATCAGCCAAATGAAGAAAGTTCACATAGGCATAACCTAGGGAGCGGCGAGTGACCGCATCCCTGCAAATGCGGATGGACAGCACTGGTCCCACCGTGCTGAACTTCTTAAACAACTGGTCCTCAGTGACATCTGCATGTAGGTCACCCACATACAGAGAGGCCATGCGGTACTTGGCTGCTACATGCATCTCTCTGGCTTCCACCAGTGAACCTTCCCCCAGTTCTTCTTGAAGCTATTCCTGCAAAATCTCTGCAAGGCTAAAGCTCAGGCAAGGGGCCCAAGTGTGGCCTCAAGCTCCCTTTACAGGCAGAGCAGTGGGGCTCAGGTACAGTTCCTTCTGGCTGACAATGTTCACATCAACAAGCACTATTGCAACCAATCCACCCTTCCTGGAAGTTGCCAATGAAACTTTGAAATCTCAATTGAAGGATACTCAGAAAAAAAGTTTCTAACCCGCCAATTTGTAAGGAATCTTCCAGGGGCAGGCTGGCTCTCAATCGGTGCTTTCTCCACAGACACCCTGGACTCAAGTTTCTGGGTTAAAATAGGCCTCTGCAGCTGGTTTAAGTTACAGCCGCCAGGGGAAGAACTCCACAAGTGGTGTCTACAGCAGCAGCCCGGGGCACCAAGTCCTGGCGACCCGCCCTGTGGACCCTGTGAGGCCGGATCCCTTCACATTGGGTCTTGCAGGAGCCACTTCAGCGTGGCCTGAAAGGAGAGTGAGCTGCGGAGGGACACTTAAGAGTTGGGTGACCCTACAAAGGCAGACCTGCACAGGCACCAAGGAAGGGCGGGCTGGGGTTTGAGAAGGGGAGGCAGACAGATTGAAGGACAGACGGATGGAGGGACAGACACGGCCCCAAGCAGGGGCTGAGGGCTCACCCACACTGCGGCCGGCTGGGGGCGGACGGGAGGCGGGAAACCCGGAACTTGCGCGCAGAACTTCCCTCGTGCTTGCTGCCAAATGAAATGTTTTCTTTTTAATATTTTTTCAAAATGTTTTTCTTCCCCCCGCCCCCAGCACACGTTGCCCTTCCCCCACTAAGCCTGGAAGCAGGAGGCGGTGACTTGGGTGGAGAAAAGGAAGCCTAGGGGTGTGGCCGGGTTAAAACCCACCCGCCCCCAAGCCTTTGAGCAGGTCTGACTAGGAGTTTTTCTATAATGTTGATCAGGACCTATCACTTTCTTAGCTTAAAAGCCTCTTGATTAGGGTCCAATAACCTCAACTGAATCTACAAAGTTCTGCAGGATTCTTGCCTGCTCCCTGGCTCCCCTTACTAAACTCCAAGACAGGCTCGTCTTTTTTCAGAGCAATGCTTTTAAAATGTGTTACTTGGAAATCAATTTAAATGGACCTTACAAATGGAAGCTTTTCAAAAATTCCATTCTGGAAGTTTAAATTTCCCTCTTAGAATTTCTTATTCTAGTTTTCTGGTGGTGTTGTTGTTAAGTACCGTTGAGTTGGTTCTGACCCTTGTTGTTCTTATGCGCCAGGGAGTCCCTTCTGACTCCTAGCGACCCTGTACATGGTTTCCGAGCCTGTAAATCTTTACCGGAGCAGAAAGTCTCATCTTTCGCCTGCAGAACAGCTGGTAGTTTTGAACTGCTGACGTAGGTTTAGCAGCCCAATTCGTAAACCACTGTGCTATCAGAACTCCTTGTTGTTGCTGTTATGTACCGTAGAGTCGGTTCTGACTCACAGCAACCTTGTACAGGATTTCCGAGGCTGTAAATCTTTACGGAAGCAGAAAACCTCTTCTTTCTCCAGGGGAACAGCTGGTAGTTTCAAACTACTGACCTTGAGGCTCACAGCCCTCATAACCACTACTACTGCAAACCACAGGGCTGGAATTTCAGCCAGGCCAGCTGCTCCTTGGAAATTCTATACAGGATGATTATGAGTCAGAACGACTCAACAGCACTTAGCAACAACTATTTTTTATATCTATATCTATCTATATCTATATATCAACATTCATGGAAGCAGCAGTCAAGAAATGAAACGAGGTATTGCATGAGGCAAATCTGCTGCACAAGACCTTATTAAAGTGATGAAGAACAAAGATGTCAGCTTGAAGACTAAGGTGCAGCCTGACCCAAGCCATGGTATTTTCAATAACCTCATCTACATGTGAAAACTGAACAGTGAATAAGGAAGACCATAGAAGAATTGAAACTTTTGAGTTATGGTGTTGGAGGAGAATATTGAAAGTACTATGGGTTGCCAAAAGAACTAACAGATCTGTGTTGGAAGAAGTGCAGCCAGAGTGCTCCTTGGAGGTCAGGATGGCCAAATTTCAACTTTCATATGTCACAAATTGTCAGGAGAGACCAGTCACTGGAAAGGAATGTCATGTTTGTAAAGCAAAGGGTCAGAGAAAAAGAGTAAGACTCCCAGTGAGATAGATTGGCAAAGTGGCAACATCAATGGGCTCAAGCATGGCAACAATTGTAAGGTTGGCCCAGGACCAGGCAGTGTTTCGTTCTGCTGTGTTTTGGGTTTTTATGAGTTGGTACAGACTCAGTGGCACCTAACAACAACAACAATATAAATATTTATTTTTGCTTTTTGGAAGTTCATGAAAAAAAAATCCATTGTCCACAAACTCTTTGATGCTTCCTCACATACACACACACACGCACACACACATACACACACACATATACGTATATATACTAATTGTTGTTAAGTGATATCAAGTCAATTCCAAAACTGAGGCACAGATACTGGGTTTGAACTGTTGAACTTGAGGTTAACAAGTGCTTATCCTACTGTGCCACCCCATTATCAAACTATATACATATATTTGTTTTTGTTGTTAAGTGACATGGATTCAGTTCTGACTCATATGGACCCTGTACAGGGTTTACAAGGAGTGGCTGGTGGTTTTGCACCTACAACCTTTGGTTAACAGTAACCTATATATGTATGAGAGTAAGTCAAAAGGTTTTGATATAAAGTCATACAAGCCTTTAATAAGTAAAAATATCAAAATACAAAGTTGTCATTTCTTGACATATCTTGCATCTAAGCCTATGCACTTCTGAATGTGGTGTTTCCAACTCTCTAACGGTTCTCAGAAGAATTCTGTGCTTTTGATATTACATCATGTCCAAAGTAGTTCTGGTATCCTCAAGGGACTCAAATCTTGTTCTTTTAAATGTTCTTGTACTTTTTTGGGGGGAAACAAAAGTAGAAAGGGACAAGATTGGGGTGGTAGTGTGGATAGAATAAGTTTTCCCAAAGAAATTCTAGTAGGTTAGTTCTTGTTGTCCTAGAAGAATAAGTAGGTCCATTGTTATAATGTGTGTGTGTGGGGGGGGGGGGGGGGGGTGGAGGGTGAGACTATGGCACAACTTTTCTAGACTATATCTCACCAATGCAGTTTTCATTATTTTTTTAAAATTATTCATATTAAGCCACAGTGATTTTCTTGTGTTCCTTAAGAAAATATAGGCAAACACTGTATTAACCCACTACACCATACGAGGACTCCTTCAAGGATTATGGAGGGGCATAATATGTCAGAGAAGTTGAACAGCTAAAAAATCTTTAACTTCTAACTCATAGAGGCCAATCTTGTGTTGATTTTCATAAAGGAAATTATTCATGCAATAGTATACTATTGTGAGAACTACAACTACCCAATGATTGGGTGCACAGCTTTGTCTGGAATAAACACATTCATGTATGAACTAGACCCTAGTAGCAGCATTTTTGACATTAGGTGCCATCTAATTGATTCCAGCTCAGAGTGACTTTAACTACAAGATAACTGATGGGTTCTATGTCATCATCACATTTGTTGTCATCTTTGAGTCCATTATTGTACCGTATTTGAGCCCATTGTTGCAGCCTATTGTGTCAGTCCATCTAGTTAATGGCACTGTGAATTTATGCACTAAACTGCAAAGTCGATTCAAAGCACAAGGTCAGCATTTCAAGCTCACCTGTCACTCCTTGGAAACCTTATACAGGGTGGCTATGGGTAGGAACTGACTAGATGACATTTAACAACAGCAACAATAATACTTAACCAAGGACACCTGGTGGGGTATTTTAGCACCACTACTGGACTGAAAACTACAAGGTCAGCAGTTCAAACCCACCTGCTACTGCTTGAAAACCTATACAGAATTTTACAACAACAGCCACATACTTTACCAAAGGAATGTTGGTGACACTGGGAGCTAGGCATTGGGTTGCTAATAGAAGTTCAGTGTTTCAAATCCATCAGTGGTTTTAAAGGAAAAAGATGAAACTGTCTGATCCCCTAAAGATTTGCAGTTTTAGAAACACTCTATAGGGCCTCTAGAAGTTTGAATCTACCGCTTCTCTATCAGTTTGTCAAACTATAGTGACTTGAATGTTGCAGTTATTCTGGAAGCTATACCATGGGTGTTTTAAATACTAGCAAGGTATTTAAACTACCAGCAAGGTCACCCAGGGTGGACAGATTTAAATTGACCTTCCAAACTAAGACAGAATACAAAGAAGGAAAGACAGACTACTTCTGATATTCAGTCACTGAAAACCTTATGAATATCAGTGGAATACTGTCAGGTAACACATTATTGTTAAATATTGAAACATGATGAAGAGCACCAGAATATTGTCAGATATTGTGCTGGAAAATGAGGCCTTCATGTTGGAAGATTCTTAAAATGCAGCTGGAGAAGTTTTGCCTCCACAAAGTAGATTTGACAGTGATGACAAATGGAGGAAAACCTTTGGGACCGCATTTGTTGATGGTACACAACTCAAGATGAAGAGAAGCAGCTGTAAACTACAGAATATGTAATGTTTGAAGTATGAATTTTGAAAAACTGGAAATTATAAAAAAACGAAATTCAACACATAAAGATGGATATCCTAAGCATCAGTGCACTAAAATGGACTGGTACTGGCCATTCTGAATCTCACAATCACATTGTTTACTATGCCAGGAATGACAAACTGAAGAGTAATGCCATCATATTCATCATCAAAAAGATCATTTTAAGATCCATTTTGAACTACAGTGCTGTCTGTGAGAGATTCTGGTATAGTGCTGTGAGATAAAGCACTAGATAGCAAGGTCAGTTTGAACCACAAGATTGGCTGTTCAAACTTACCATTTACTCCTTGGAAATCCTATGCATGGTCACTAAGAATCAGAACTG